ATATCTAGGTTTTATGAGTCAATATAAGGTCACGTCAGCATTAAAAATCAGATCAGTGAAACCGGAACTTAGGTAGATATTTATAGTAACACAGATTTACTATAAGGGAGAACCTATTTCTGTTCTCACAGTTAACATCCAAGCTTTATGTATTTTTGAGTGTTTAATGGAGACAAAGTAAAGAAAATCAGGGTATCTCCAAAAGACGGGCTTAACCACTGAGCAAAAAGTGGTTGAAGACACGTAAAGGATTTAAATTTCAAGTTTATTTATACAGCGCCGATTCACAACGCATGTAATGTCAAGGCACTTTATAGAGATGATTCAACCAGGTCATCCATTAAGATTGATTCACACTTTTCTAAGGAAAACCAGCTCATTGACTTTTCAGCAATCCCTCACACTAAGCATGCTTGTAGCGACAGTGGAGAGGAAAAACTCCCTTTTAACAGGAAACACCGGGATTTACAGGAAGTAAATTATGAAAGATGAGATGATTTCGGTCCAAACGACATCCACAAAAGTCTAAATTTTCAGACTGCGAAGAAGACAATGAAAATCTGGTTTTCACTGTTTTTAAAAAATCTATTATTGAACAAAACTGGGACAAAATCCGACCGACCAACCCCCTGAGGGAGACCCTTAACCCCCCGCTGCTCCCCAGGTGCCGCACAATGGCAGCCCACTGCTCCCAAAGAGGATGGGTTAAATGCAGAGAGTGAATTTCCCCATTGTGCAACAAAAAATTATTTACATTTTAAATTCAAACATGGCCCCATTTTCAACAACAATTTCTGGACTAAATCCAAACTAAGAAGGACCGACCAGATTTAGTCAAAAAAACAACGCCTAACAGACGTCTAATGTTTGGGGGGTAACCGACCGTAGAAGTTCTTTATCATTTTAACAAATGCTTTATGCAGTTTTTTTCTGTATTTTTACAGAGAAACTTAATAATATATAAAATTATCAGATGATATTTGCATTGCTAATTGGAGTTTTTAAAATACATACTCCTATATGCAATAGTTGTTGTTTTTATATACTTTAGTATAGCAAAAATTTATTGTATAATTAAAACACCTTTGAATATTTAAAGGCTTCTGGGAGACGGAAATCTCTACTTATTCAGCCTCCTGAAGCTGCTAGCTTACTGCTATGCTAACACTAGCCTTTAGCTTCAAACTGAAACAACAAATGTTTGTTTTCTTTATTTTTCTTGTAATTATAGGTTAGAAAGTTGTTGTACACAATAAAGGTGTGATACTAAAAGATATTCACTTTGCAATAATCTTACACCTTTTTCCCAATAAGTGCATATTTTGATTGTTTGCATCTGGGACTATTTCTGCACTGAAATAGATAAAAGAATGACATATAAAAAAAAAAGATGTAGGCTTCTTGAAACACATGATGTGGTCTCTGCTGGGAAAATCGCAAAGTGAAACTGGAATTGATATTCAGATATTTATAGAAACTGTAGTGACCTCATCAAATGAAAGTAATACCCATTTTGTGCAGATTTCTTTCAGACCCGTTCACATAGAAAAGTTTGTCGTCTTATATGCTAGACCAGGGGTCGGTGACCCGTGGCTCTTTGGCGCCCCCCTGGAGCTTTTTAAAAATGTATGAAAATAGATTCTTTTTGTTTGTTTGTTTGTTTGTTTGTTTGTTTGTTTGTTTGTTTTAATATTGTGGGCAGGAGGTCAAAGGAACAATTGTAAATTTAAATTGAAACAATAAATGTAAACATTTCTAGTTTACATTTTAGTTTACATAGTTAGTTCAACCTCTAACGTTCTGCTCTCTCTGCTTTTTCTCATAGTAGCTTCATCTGGTCTGTTCCTGTTTGGCTGTGACTCCATCCTGGAGAGAAATATCAGCTGTGCTGCTGCCATCAACACCTTTGTTTCTAGATGTTGGAGATCGGCCTGTTTTTCAGTGTAGTCCTGTTTCTCTGACTGTGACTAACTGGATGTGCTCTCTTCATCCTCTGACATGGGAGCTGGCTCGGAGCCCGTCTGCCTGGCTATGTGTTTCCTGGACGGGGCCGCCTTTTCAGTTGCCTTTTCTATGTCTGCTTCTGTCTCCTTGAACCCCAGTCAGCCTCAGCAGATGGCCGCTCACACTGAGCCTGGTTCTGCTGGAGGTTTTTTCCTGTTAAAAGGGAGTTTTTCCTCTCCACTGTCACTACAAGCATGCTTAGTGTGAGGGATTGCTGAAGAGTCAATGAGTCGATGCAATCAGCTGGTTTTTCTTAGATAGAAAACTTTGAATCAATCTGACTGGATGATCTGGTGAACTGGAAAGTGCCTTGAGATGACTTGATGTGAATTGGCGCTATAGAAATAAACAGAATTTAATTTAATTTCTTTCAATGAAAATTTGTGTAATATCCATACATAGAGACCAGTGGTCTTGACTGCAACACACGTCTCAGCATGGCGCGGTGCCAGGCAAAGCGGCGGGTGTGTATCGGATCCCAAAGGGAAAAAAAGGAAGATAGCTGATGAGAACAGAGGATTCAAAGAAGAATGGAGTGAATCATTTGCTTCCATTATCAATGCAGAAGGATTGCCTCCATGTTTGCTTTGTACTGAGAGATAGTCAAAAAATTAAAAAATAATAATTTGGAAAGGCATTTGTCCTGCTTGCTTCCTCATGACTCAATCAACCCCTCCCAGCAGAAACACGTCCACCATAGAATGATTCCTTTATTGGGTTTCTATAATTTAATCAATGCAACAAAAGCTAAACTGTGCGGTGAAGGGTGGTGAAACGGCGTGCGATGAATTCCACGCGGTGAGAGCGTTCACTGCTCCTCCCTCATGCGACAATGTGACATTTGCTCTGGGATAAACATTTAATCATGAATGATTATTATATATTCCACATATTCCTTTTTTATAGTGGGCTAATACGCTTAAAGATCCTGTTGCCATTCGAGGCTTATAGAAGACTTTTTTGGCCTCCAGACAGATTTTTTTTTGTGTTTTTTTGGTCCAATATGGCTCTTTGAGCAGCTTGGGTTGTCGGCCCCTGTGCTAGAGGTTAAATTCATCATGCAGATTTCTGTGTAAACCCTGCAGTTATTCAACATTGTGACGAGTCTTTTACGTATTTTCTGTTCTTTCCTTGGTAATGAGTAATACTTAGAAGGCTGTGATGCTTAAAGTAGTCATAACTTTACGCCCTAATAAACAGTTAGCCACCCATAAATAATGGGTCCATTGGGATGTAATGAGTTCATTGGATGGCTCGGCAGTTACCAAAGCATCCAACAGTGAGTCTGTTTAAAATGTAACAGGGGGGGCATTGGCCTAGTGAGTCAGAGCAGTGCGCTTGTGCTCTGACAAGGTTGCAAGTACACAGTTCGATCCCCACAGCCTGCACTCTGGGTCCCTGAGCAAGACCTTTAATCCCTCACTGCTCCCCGGGCGCTGCACAATAGCAGCCTGCTGCTCCCCAAGGGGATGGGTTAAATGCAGAGGTAAATTTCTCCAGTGTGAGATCAATAAAGTTCAATTATAATTCTATAAAAACAAGGTGCGACACTTTAGATTTGCATGAAGTTTGGCTGCTGCGGAGCGCTATAGCCCATAAGATGCCATACCTGATGGTCTAAACCCTGATTTAATGTGATTTAAAATACCTCAGATTCACGGCCATCCTTCTAAATGACCAATCGAGTTGAATGGTAAATATCCCAGTTTAAATACCGCATTTAATTTGTGCATGAAATAATGTGTGGGATGAAAGAAATTATAATTTACACATTTAATCCATCGGCAATTGATATGTGATCCCCTTTAACTGGTTTTACTGATGGCAGCATTTTTTTATTTTTTTATTAGACTGCTGAATTTTGTTAGCTTATATAGAGAGCGATCACTCTGCGATCGACTGCATGGTCTGCCCATCTGATTAACACCGATTAGCTGAAGCTTTCTTGCATTAGTGATATTAAGCAAGTGAGGCGTCCTTTTGGTGAAATCCAGCTTGTCATGTTGTGCCAAAGATGAGTCAGAATCGGGCGTCTAAGTCTGGCTTTTTTGATCAAGTTTAATACCCCACAGGTCCGAACTTGGCTGTTAACATTTGGAGAAAATTAAAAAAAACTAAGAAACTGATTTCTTAGAGTTAAAGAATAACATTTAATTATCAGCGAACTGATTTTCTTGATTGGTTTTTGTTCTATGAAAGTAAAGAATATATTAAAATCATGATCTACAAGTTTAAACCAATAAAGCGAAGCAACGTTTCAGTTGTTAAGATAAATCTATAATATCGGTGCTTTTTAATATACTTTTATATGATGTCATTGTTGTATTTTTTATTTATTGTGCAGAGTTTTCCATGTCTGAGGCTCTCAATCCTGAATTAAAAGTATACCTCAGATATATCTGGAAAAAATCGAAATCTAGATCAGTAATTATTTCTTAAAATAAATTCATTTGTTCTTGGATTGAAGAAGTTAAAGAGACATCTTGCCAATGAAACAAAATTTACACTTAACATAAGAAAACACAATTGATTTGTCTTATTTCAAGTACATATTATCTAATTATCTTATTTTAAGAGTAAAAATACTCATTCCATTCGCAGATCATCTTATTTATCTGCTCAAATTAAGGGTAAATACACTTAATTTAAGAAATATTGACCTATTTCTAGATTGTTTTCGCAGTGTATAGGGAGCATTAAATATTTTACAGCCCATATTTACAGAGAAATAACTAAAATGTAAACATTTCTAATATATGACACGGATGGTAAAAATGTAAATCATTTAATTTAACAGAGATAAACTGAAATAGCTCAAAATTATGCAAAGAAACCATTTCCAAAAAGCTGAAAAGTACAAACCGATAAAGACCAACTTAGAATCTGAGAGGAAATTTAGGTACAAAAGTCAGAAAAATCAAAGGTAAATATACAGATAAACACCGAGATAAAAGGTGTGTGTGTGTTTTTTCCTGCTTAGGAGGATTTCTACTTACAACTTGGCATGGAGCGAGGTGTCGGGAAGGATGTGCGGATGCTAGCGCACAGCTGGCCCACAGCAGATAGAGCAGCTGGAATGCGGCCATGGTCCTGCAGCACAGAGAGCCCAGATCACACAAATCAGACACTCCACCAATGCAAAAAGCAGGATGTAGGTGATCCGCTAAAAAGGGAAGGAAGCAGGCCCTGCGTAGATTGTGACATGCTGACCTTTGACAGAGCTATTTTTGCCTTTAAAATACAGAAGGGGCTTTTCTTCTTCATTCAAACGCCACACAACTTCTCTTACCCTGCATTTCACTGGTACTATAGAGGATGACTAAGCAATCTGCAGGTTTCCATTGGTTCTGAGTATTTAGGTGAGGGTTACTGTTTTGAAACAAACCAAGACGAATCGGTTTTGTCAGACTATGGTGAGTCACCACTTCTGAACAAATCAAAACAACGTGTGACGGATCAGAGCAGACAGACGATGTGGGAGTAATTAGCACTGAAGTCATGGTAAGGATACTCTGATAAGCGTGTGGAAATAACAGTGAAACGTACGCCCTGCTGTGCTAGAAAAGAAGGCCGTTTCTCTGATTCGCCGTAAATTTAAGGCATGAAAGCTCAGACGCAATTTTATTTATCAAGAATTTTCGTTTTAATGAAAGAGAAAAAAGTCGTAGCTCTTAAAGCTGCGTTTGATTTTAATGGTGTGGGAGGTGGAGAGAGTTTTAACAGGCGAGCTGCTGACAAAGTCCATTTATACATATGATAAAGCATCTTAAAGGATATATTATGCTAAGTTTTTTCTTATGCCTTTTTTGGTAAAAACATTCAGGAGGATAAACAAGTTTAAAACCTTTTATTTAAAGGCTAGTAGGATATTTAGTTTGATCTCTTCTATTACACTGGAAAAAATGGAAATCTAGATAAGTAATCCTTTCTTTAAATAAGTGCATTTGTTCTTGTATTGAGGAGGTAAAAAGACGTTTTGCCAAAGAAACAAGACAATTTACACTTAAAATAGGAAAACACAATTGCATTATCTTATTTCAAGTGCATTTTTAATCTAATTATCTTATTTTAAGAGTAAGAATACTCATTTCATTGGCAAACTACCTCATTTACCTACTTAAAATAAAGATAATGACACTTAATTTAAGAAATATTTACTTATTTCTAGATCGTTTTTGCAGTGTATCCTGTTCTGTGATTTGATGACATCAACTATACTGCAAAAAATAGAAATCTCAATAAGTAATTTTTTTCTTAAGATAAGTGCATTTTTTCTTGAATTGAGGAGGTAAATGAGACACTTTGTCAATGGAATAAGATGGTTTACTTTTAAAATAAGAAAAAACAACATTATTGTCTTATTTCAAGTGTATATTATCTAATTATCTTATTTTAGGAGTAAAAATACTCATTTCATTGGCAGATCATCTTATTTACCTGCTCAAATTAAGGATAAATATACTTAATTTAGCTGTAAAAACAAACAAAAAAATACACTTAAGAATATTTTACTTATTTCTAGATCATCTTGTATGGATATAAATACTTGCAGGATGTCTGATGCTGTTTAAAATAAGGCAGTTTTAAATTCTAATTTAAAGGCCAACTTTAGGAGAGAATCCAAATCTAAAAAAAAAAAAAATATTTTCTCTGAATTTATTAAAACTTTCTCCTTACTTATTGTAATCACTCTTTCCTTACTATCCTTAATTGCTCGGCGATTTATTGATCCCAATTTATTTAAAGATTAGGAAGACACTTTTGCTGCTTGGAAGGAAAATACTAAAAAGAAAAAAACAAATGTAAGCCACACTATTCAGATTATTTTCTTGCAAAATCCTTTCCCTTCAGCCCAATTATCCACCATGTGTTGTTTTATAATGAAATCACTGCAACCTGGAATAATTGACATTTTTAGCACATTTAGAAACATTGCTCTAATTACAGACTGCATGTAAAAAAAAAAGTCATTTTGTTAACTTGAAAACAAAATACCTGTTTTAAGTAGTTGCATAAAATCATCTAGAATCTGTATCTTTACTTGTCTCTGGGGCTCAGACTCTACCTTCATCATGGGGCTCTTTTCTTTTAAAATAATTTTTCTGCTTGCAAAAGGTTCTCGAATCAAGTTGAATATAAGCAACATTTATCAGTAATCTACAGGAATTCCTAAAAGTTGAAGTCTTTCTTTTACCACAGCCTGTCCTCATGCACACACTGGAAAAAATCGAAATCTAGATAAGTCAGTTTTTCTTAAAATAAGTGCATTTGTTCTTGGACTAAGGAGGTAAGAGAAATTTTGCCAATGGAACAAGACAATTTACACTTAAAATAAGAAAACTCAAATACATTGTCTTATTTCAAGTGCATTTTATCTAATGATCTTATTTTAAGAGTAAAAATACTCATTCCATTGGCAAACTATCTCATTTAACTACTCACATTAAGGGTAAATACACTTAATTTAAGAAACTTTTACTTATATCTAGATACATTTTCCAGTGTAAGAGCAAAAAATGGAAATCTAAATAAGTATTTTTTTTTAAATAAGTGCATTTTTCTTGAAATGAGGAGGTAAGTGAGACAGTTTGCCAATGGAACAAGACAATTTTCATTTAATATCAGAAAAACCAATTGGATTGTCTTATTTCAAGCGCACATTAAGACTAAAGATACTAATTTCATTGGCAAATCATCTTATTAACCTACTGAAATTAGACATTTTTACTTCTTTCTAGATCGTTTTTACAGTGAACTCACATTCTTTGACTTCTCTTTGCAGCTTTCTTAAAAAACAAACCACCCTAAATTAGGCTTCTTCTCAAAAACACCACATGTTTACCTCAGCGGATGACTAATCTTTGTTGCAGTGCCTCCAGACCACGCTGATTTCACATCCTCACACACCCACTCACAGTTCGATCCCTGCACCGCAGACCAAAAGCGGCTCTCAGCTGACTTCTGCCTCCACATTGGGACGACTGCGGCCATCGCATCCTGTGAGAACATCCTACAACCGCTCTGCCCTCTTCCTCCTCCCACAGCACGTGGGGGAACAGCCATATAAGGGGTTGGGCAGTCCAGAGACGACCCCTGAGAACTCCCACCCCACCGCCTCATCAAAAATGAATCCTCATGTCGAACGGTTCTCCAGAGAAAACAGCCCTAGAACATCTCCTGTTGGAATTCAGAGCGTTTTAGTTGAACCATAAGGCTCCAAACTCTCCATATTTCTGCATTCTTTGAAAAGCATCCTTATTTGGGGATGTTCTGATGCATACGGTCTCCACCCAGAGACAGCTCTGCTCACATGCAGGCCCGTGGGAGTCAGCTGGAGTCATCATGTGGGCTTTTCTCTGGCATCCCACGCTGGGAGCAAAACTACAACTGAAAACTGCAACATTAATGAACAACGAAATCAAAAAGTCTCTCAGCTGAAGGGAGGATGTGATGCGTAACCAAAGGGAAGCATTAAATGTTTCTATTAAGGCCTGAAACAGCTGGTTAATCTAACTTTTACTTCAGATCTAGTAACAGTAAATCTGAAGTAGCTTTAAATGAATTCTGCATAAAATGCTTAAACGGATTCCAATAATAGAAAATAAACTGAGGATGGATGGACTCTCATCTATGGTCATGAGCTTTAGAACGAGACCCCGGATACAAGCGGCTGAAATGAGTTTTCTCTGTAGGGTGTCTGGGCTCCCCCTTAGAGAGGAGCTCAGTCATCCGGGGAGGACTCAGAGTAGAGCCGCTGCTCCTCCACATCGAGAGGAGCCAGTTGAGGTGGCTCGGGCATCTGGTTAGGATGCCTCCTGGACGTCTCCCTGGTGAGGTGTTCCAGGCACGTCCCACCGGGAGGAGGCCCAGGGGGAGACCCAGGACACGCTGGAGGGACTATGTTTCTCGGCTGGTCTGGGGGCACCTTGGGATTCCCCCGGAGGAGCTGGACCAAGTGGCTGGAGAGAGGGACGTCTGGGGCTCCCTACTGAAGCTGCTACCCCCACGACCCGACTCCCGATAAGAGGAAGATGGACGGACGGACGGACGGACAGATGGACGGATGGATGCTTTATTAACAGTATCCAGTCAAACCCTTTCCTAACATTGTATTAATATTAATCAACACGGCAGAGAACAGCATCTGTAGCAGAAGTGGCTGAAAGAGGCAGAGCTGCTCCTCAGTGTTATTAATCAGCACTTATGAGGAGTTTTCTACGTTCACATTCCACTGGGAATGAATCCTAACGGAGATCATAATTCTCACTCCAACTAAGATATATCTCCTTAGACCTGGGAATGTCTGCAGAACCCCTAGAACATTGATTCCCAACCTTTGTTGACTTTTGTTTGGCCTGATGTGTTTGTGTAGTTATATATATCTTAACCCCTAGAACCCTACGGACCCACCGGTAGGTCCAGCTGCTACGTGACTTCTTAATTTTAACAAACCCCTAGTATTGATGTAAAAAACACATTAGGCAGTTTGGTGACATTTATGGATAAATGTGCCAAAATGGCCTCTCCGCCTAAGAAATTTCTCACTAATACCATTCTAAAATAAATATGATTCATCTGATTGAGTCCAAATTTGGTATATTTTTACACAACATTTAGATTTGAAAGTCTGTACTACTTTTTTGTGCTATAAATAATATTTTGGTAGTGTTTTGCAATGTTTATTTCAAAGAAAATTTTGGCGAGGTTCAAAAAAATGCAAAATATTTTGTATTTTGTCCCTAATATTTCAGGCACGGTCAAAGCTACAATGGTGCTGACACCAGAAAACCATTCTATGACATCTTACCTTTACAGAGGTACCAAAAGTTTCTTCTTATATCTGATAGCTGTGAGGCTATAAGTGATTTACTTTTGTGTGTTTTTGTCAGGCAGAAATTTATTTATACACCCTTAGGGTGTAAGATAGTTTTACTTCTTAATACCCTTTTTCTGACAATTTGCATTAATCAATGTTAGTTCTCTGGCTCTATATACCCACAGGTTTATCTGTTGGAGGGTTTTTGTTTCTATTTATGTTAAGTTTGGTCTTTGGTTTGGTATGATGTTAAATAGTCTTTTTTTGTGTGTGTATTTGTTGATTAATTTATTGTTTTAGTTCTCAATTTGTCTGTCCGAAATTGTCTGAAATAAGTTCCTATTCCTTCCTTCCTTCCTTCCTTCCTTCCTTCCTTCCTTCCTTCCTTCCTTCCTTCCTTCCTTCCTTCCTTCCTTCCTTCCTTCCTTCCTTCCTTCCTTCCTTCAAGAAAATAGAACAAGAACTATTTTTACTTAATCTTTTAATTTGAGCATTTAATTCCTAGGTATTTTATTCTTTCCATCTCAAATAAAAAAAAACAGCACCAGTATGTTTCCTGGAAGTTAGTAAGAAATTGAAATAAATACGAAATAAAATCCTATTATAAAACTGTATTTATAAGACTGGAGCTCCTCTGAGAAACTCCCTTATAATCACATTTAAACAAAAATTACAGTCAGACCGACTTGATCTCAGGCTTGATCTCAGGCTTGATCTCTACATCCAGTCTGCTCCTCTGCTTGGTTTGGATCAAAGTCAAAGGTGAACTCAAAGATATGAGAAAAACCTTTTTAGTTAATAAAAGCTTATTTAATTTTTCTATTGGGTTCTCAGAAAGCAAACAGATCCCAGATTTTATTTTATTTTATTACCAAGTAAATAAAATATTTCCCTGAACCCCTTGCAATGCACTTGTGGACCACTAGGGGGTAAGTATGCCACTTGGGAATCACTGCCCTAGAAGGAGCCTCAATGAGGAGAAGGCCATAGATCCCCCGGACCAGCTAATTGATTTCTGGATTAAAATGAGCAGAATAGATTTAATGCAACAAAAAAAAACATCCCTGAATCCCTGAGAGTACCAGCCATGCCTTTAATTGATTGATTAATTGACTGATTGATTGACTTTATTGATCTCACAGTGGAGAAATGCACTTGTTACTTCAGCTCAAATAGTCAAAGAAGAAGAAGAAGAAGAAGGTGGAAAGGAATGAAAAGGTGCATGGGGTATAAACAGTATTATTATTATATATATTATTGCACAGGGTGATTTTCCATGTCAGTTTTTCTAACCAAAGCAGACATCTGCTGCCCCTGTGTTCAGAAAAAGTCCCCCTTCATTCATCAAACAACCTTAATACAATCAGATGATCTTAACTTTTCGTTTTGCTTTTAGAGCCAGACCACCGGGACGTTTTTTTCTGTTTTATCATCACCTCTTTACATGATTTAGTTGTAAACAACAAACGCTCTTCGTGTTTCAGTTACTGTATCAGGTTTGCTTATTTTACATTTTGAACACAACTTCTTCCACTTTGTCATCCTAATTCGGTGTCATTTACAGTCGTGGTGTTGATTTAACTTCCTTAGCTAATAAAACACACACTAAGCTTAAACACCTCCTGTAAACAGACATCCTGCATTTGGGTTTGTTTCTGCCTTTAGTTTCTAAAGAGTTCACAACATTTAGAGCGTCGTGAATTGGTTTTCTGCACCATTAACTCACATTCTTGTCTTTAAGGTAGGATTCTGCTGTAGAAACCTGCTGTTCAAATTGAAGAACGCTTTAAAATAAAGGTTTTTTTTATGCAATGATGACCTTTTGTGGGTTGGCCTCCATGTGGAGGATGTTATGACTGCATAACAAATGTGGAGTCACCAGTCTTCCTCATGACCCTGCAATATTTGTACTGGCCTCATTTTTCTCTGCGTGTTAAACAAGTAGGAATTATGAAAACATGTTTTTTATTTTTTATTTCCTCTTTTGTGTTACATACAATAACCTGTAATGAACATAAATTAATGTTATGATGCGTCATGAGATGGTTTTCATAATCAGTGTTACTCCTGAGGTATATGGAGGACAAAAACTATATAAGAATATTTAAGATCTACCATAAAATAAGTAGAGGGAGCATTAATTTATTTTATATACAGAAGATAAATATCTAAATACAAGATAAAAATATGAAACTGTGAAAAATCTCCAATTAAATGATTCAAATACATTTAAAATTATTAGATAATTAATTCAATGGCATTTTAAAAATGTATTCATTAAAAAGTTTATGGAATTATATGTCTAAATAATTATAGCAAGAAGAAACTATATGTATTTCTTGGAGGTTCCCAGGATGTAACACTGTTATTTTTAGGGTCGCAGTTTAATATGTTAGGAACCTCTGATCTAAGAGATAATAATTACAACTAAAAACTCAAAACGAATGTTTAACTTATGATTAAATGTATAAAAAATAAATAAAACTGCTTAAACAAAAGAAAACTTATTATCAAATAACTTCATATCTTTGTAGATAAACTAAAACAAGCAAACATCCTGCCAGAACATTTTTTTATTTATTTATGTTTTTTAATTATTTTATTTTTTTAGAACGAAAATTTAAAATAATTCATCTTCAATTATATAATATTTTTAAGTTATTAATATTGCAAAGTTGCAGCACGTCACATATATATCTAACTTCAACAAGGAAGATAATTGGTCTGTAACAGAGCTAGCCATTCACACCTTAGTTTAAACTATAGTACTGAACTATATGAAGCTCGTCTGCCTGGCTGTGTGTTTCCTGGACGGCGCTGCCTTTTAAAGTTGCCTTTTGTATCTATGCTTGTTTTTCTATGTCTGCTTCTGTCTCCTTGAACCCCAGTCGGCCTCAGCAGCTCAGCACTGAGCCTGGATCTGCTGGAGGTTTCTACCTGTTCAAAGGGAGTTTTTCCTCTCCACTGTCGCTACATGCATGCTTAGTGTGAGGGATTGCTGAAGAGCCAATGAGTCAGAAAACTTTGAATCAATTAGACTGGATGATCTGGTTGAACTGTAAAGTGCCTTGAGATGACATGATGTGAATTGGCGCTATAGAAATAAACTGAATTGAACTGAATACTATATACTAAAAAAATACCAAAATATTTGACTTATTTTTACATGCAATAATTCATCATTTAACAGATATTACCTCTAAAATAAATACATTTTTAGGAATATTCTATTCATTTAATGTTTTATTTGAACGGTTATATTTATTTATGAAAGTATAGTGGTTACTATGGCTATCTGGCGGCTGTAACTCCGCCCTCCCGGCCGGCGCAATCCTTCGTGCACCAGCGTTAAAATGGTGCGGACCCGCTCTAAAAAACGCACCTTAAAAACCAGCGGATGCGCTGAGAAAGAGTCGCAAACACACATAATACATAAAGAAGTATATTTCAAAGCCGCTTGGGTAAGGTTTAATGCATTTAAGATAAAATAAAGTAATGATGAATAAAAGAAGAGGTTTCCATTCTTAGTGTCGGTGCAGGAAGCAGCCGGACAGGTAATATTGAACCAAAGTCACCTGAACAGAGTCCTACCTGAGCATGTTGTCTGCTGGGTGTCGCGCAGGAACAGCCGCTTGGTTTCATATTCTCAGCCCTTTTCTCCATCACCATTTATCAGCTTGCATCATGTTACACCTGCGCGCAGGGGACTTATCCCACCGGGAATCCCAGGCTTTTTTCTCTGTTTTGTTTCCTTTTCGTTTTAGATGCAGCAGCAGAGCAGCTGAGAGGGTTTAAGGTTCTCCATCATTTTTTCATGTCTATTTTCCCCCCCTGGAAAAACAAAAATACTTCAGTGGAAAAAAAAAAAGGTCCTAATTTACAAGTAACTTGATGAGGAAACAGGGATGAAGTGTCACTCTGAGCTTCTGGAGTCTGCTGCCACCTGCTGGTGGCCAACATCACCTGCAGGGGACTGATCTACCAAACACACTAACCTTTATAGGGCCCTCAGTGAAATACTTTGAAAATCAACATTTCAAGCCAATAATGTTGGAATCCAGGACAAAACCTTAGTACCTTTGTAACATAAAAAATATGGATATTTTGATGTTAAAAATAAATGTCAATGTAATAACAAGAAACACCAACTTGCCAGAATATATTAAGAAAAATAACAAAAGTGCTTCTAGAAGAAATTCATGAAAAAAGAGAGGGAAAACATACTTATTTTTGGTCCAACATAACAGAGGCAATAATGCTGATACTGGAAATTACATTTTTTTGTTTATAAACCTAAATATATTTGTTAACTAGGCTTATTAACTTTACTTTTTAATCAGCTTTTTGCCTTTTTTTCTTGACATAACTTTGTTTTCCAACTTAATTTCCAGTAGGTAATATATCATTAAAGGGCTCATCTAATTGGTCACGTGGCAAAATAAGATGTGCAGCCATGTAGCAGGATGTTTGAATGGCTGGATATAGATCTTGTGCTTCTAGACCTTACTAAGGAAGGGGGGGGGGACCGCATTTGTAACTTGCCCTATAAAGGGTTAACAGTCTTACGTGAAAATACATTAATTAAACCTTTTATCAGTCAAGTTTTTGCTTTGGGTTTTATTTAACAGCAAGTAGGAAAACACATTTCCACTGACTTTTATGAAGAACAGACTTGATTCAGCAACTTTATTAAAGGTGAGAAAAATAAAGCAAGATTTTTGTAATGTCTAAGATGCTGAAGGAACAAAGTTATAACATTTGCCTGTTTTTTAACCACACAAATCTACCCTGATTTACAGATCCTGTTTCTACACTCATTTGGCCACTTGGCTTAATTTTAATATATTTAATATTTTTTTGCAATTTTAAGAACTAACAGAGTGTTTTAACTCCATATTTTCTGCCCTCTTGCAGGAAGTTTGGTCGCCGCTGGTCAAGAGGATGAGACACCAGAACAAACACAGATGAACTGAAGGCGAATAAAGCAAATTAGAGACTTAGATTTTATTTTGTCATTTTGTAAACGTGTATGCAAAAGGAAATTACGTTTAGTACATTTCTCTAGACTATTTCTTTTTTTTTAAAGTGCAGCAGATAAAATCACTGTGGTGAAAAAAGTGATGTAAATATATGATAGTAGCATGCAGTTCCAACATTCAGGTTTTTTTTTTTAATAACCAATTTTACTAAACATTCAGCAGTCTAATGGCAGTGGGGGTGTAACGATACTTATGTATATATATATATATATGCATATATAGCTTATACAAACAAACCAAACATAGTGGAGAAATAATCAACATGTAGGTTTACATTTCTATTTGAAAGCGTTTGTTTTTTATAATTTTCTTTTTTGCCCTCAGAAACTGATGTTAATATATCGGCCAGAATTATTAATGTTAATAGAAATAAACACTTGAAATATTTAACCATCTCAGATTAAGTAAAAGTTAACTACATGCATTTCTAGATCAGAGGATTTGCATTTTTGGAGCCAAATATCAGTCACCTCATGACCAAATTATTTAGGTGAGCATTCAAACATTTCTACACATCCAATGTAATGAAATAATATTTACAATCAAATCAAGAAACCAAATAAGTTGGCTTTCTATCTTTAACTTAAATGTTTAATCTGTGGTGGATCTTAAGTCTCCATATGGGTTTGAGTCAGGACCTCATGTGGTCTCCCAACCCAAACTTTGCAAGTCAATATTCCAGAGTGGAAGTCTTTAACAGGGAGTCCACTGAGGTTCTGCATGGGGGTCGCAAAAGTTTTGGTTGATTAGACATCTTTTATATTCCTCCCTGCATTTTTTCCACCAATTGAAATGTCTTTAAATCCACATTAACATGAATTCAACAGACTGTAGTAAACAGATAAATGGAGGCAGAAGATGTCTTTCAGTCATCAATGCTCACATTCAGCGACACACAGGAGCTCTTTCAAGCTGGGCACCGTTTTATTCACAACACCTGTCCCATCAACCAGGAATCAGAAATACTTTAATAATCCCAGGGAGAATTTACTTTAGTTACATTACTCCATCTGTAATAGAGCGACTATAGGACCAGTTTGATAGAACACTATTTAATACTATATATAGAATTAGGGGGTCCTTGCCCTGGAAAACATTGTAGGCCCTTGCTCTAGATGAATCTTTAGGATTAAAAAATTCTACCCATTTCAGGTTTATCTCTTATTAACACACCTTTAAAGAGGTCTTTCAAATTTGGCAAAAATTTAAAGGATCAAAATTTAACTAATGTTAGATATTAAAGCACAAATGCAAAGATTGGATCAACTCAGCTAAGCTGACTGGCGCCCCCTGCTGGAGAGTCAATGTCCTTACTGAATCAGGGGAAAACAAAACTGTATTTCTATGGAAGAGGATTAGGGCCACTGAAAAAATAAAAAAGTTAAATGATTTTTAAAGTTTATTTCAGTTTAATCTCAGAATTCAGACTTTATTTATTGTCAGAATTCAGTCATAATTCAGAGAAAAAAGTCAGAATTCGGAGATTAAAATCAGAATTCTGACTTTTTCCCCATACTAAACTGAAATAAAATGTAAAAATCAGTTAACATTTTTTTTACAGTGGCCCTAATCCTTTTTTGGAATTTCATCAGCAGCTATGCAAAAAAAATAAAAAATAAAACAAAAAAAGGAACTGATTGAACTTCCAAACCTATGAACCTTTAACTTATTACTGAAAACATCTGATATATATTTTTTTAAACCAGTGAAAAGAAAAGGTTTGGATATGAGAGTAAAAGAACAACAGAAGAATGGTTTATTGGCCAGGAGTAGATTTTTATATAAAATTTGAACAGTGGATACAGAGGCGTTATTATGTGTATAAAAAAATACATCCAATAAAAGGAAAATAAATGAATCTTATCTTTTCTATTTTTGAGCAGATGTTCAAGTTAGCTGATGAAATGTAAAAGGCACTAAATGTACAACATTCCAGTTTTAAAGACATGAAGAAAAAAAAAAAAAACAGAGGCCATGGTCATTCAGAGGAACAAAAAGAAAAAAATAATCACAGGCCGTTTGTAGTCTTTGATATGCAAGACATAGTGCAGATTTTACACAACATACCAAACAATTCGTAAATAACACACAACTATCTAACCATCGAAAAAACACAGATCTTTAAGACTCGACGTGAGTAAACCGTTCAGCCCTGCGTTCACACGTGAGCTCAGCCGGATCGGGAATCTTTCATAATTTATACTTTACATCACAATTTTTACAACAACACTAAACACTGCGACAAGTCACGATTAGAAGCAAAGCGACCAGCAGTAAAGGGTTGGTCAGTATCTTACATGGTTGTTCCTTTTCCTGTCGGGATTCTTCAGTACGCCGACGTGCATGCGGCTGAGCGGCAACGGGAAACCAAACTAGAACCGAGGAGGATAGGTTCAATGGAAGACTACGCAGTGGCTGCATGTCTGGAGTCAAAATGGACAAAATTAGGCTTTATTTTCTAAGGTTCAGTTAAGGTCAGGGCTCGGAGGTTTTAAATAGTTTACATCTTTAAAAACATAGATAAGAAAAAAAAAAGAAATTGCAGCAGACCAAAATAAATTCTAATAAAAAGACTAGGCTTTATTCTGGAGTTTCATATAGTACACTACAAACACCAAGCAAAGGGAAATTAAACTTAAAATGCTGCATTAGGGGTTTGATTTCCTTTATGGCTTTTATATAATCACTTTCCACGTCTATTAAGACTTTAGGACGCAAAGCTCAGCTTGGAGCGGAATGAGATCACAAACTCTAGTAATCAACCCTGAGAAATATTTTTAAAATCTTCCAGATTTGAAGTACTTTCATGTTGAAAGTTTGATCCCTACACTGCAAAAAAAGTCACTTTTTCTTAAAATTATTGCTTTTTTTCTTGAAATTGAGGAGGTAAGTGAGACACTTTGCCAATGAAAATGAAATCTACATTTGAAATAAGAAACTATTGCATTGTCTAATATCAAGTGAATATTATCTAATTATCTTATTTTAAAAAGTTTTAAAAATGAGTAAAAAGACTAATTCCTTTGGCAAAACATCAAATTTGTCTATTCAAATTAAGTGTAAATACACTTCAGATTTTTTTTAAACTTATTTCTAGATCATTTTTGCCGTGTAAATGTACCATAATTACACAGAATATTTTTTCTTTCCTACCTAATATGTCTCCCAATGCTTAAAGTTTAACATAGTTTTGCTAACGTAACCTACGTCAAAAATCTAATTCACAAATCATTCCAGTCTAGTTTCCTTGTAAAGGTCGAGGCAAAGGGAATGTTTAATGTTCTACCACCCACAGAAAACTACGGAAGAGGATTAGGGCCAGTGGAAAAAAAAAAAAGTTAACTGATTTTTACATTTTATTTCAGTTTAGTATGGAAAAAAAGTCAGAATTCTGACTTTTTTCTCAGAATTCTGACTTTTTTCTCAGAATTCTGAGATTAAAGTCAGAATTCTGAGATTCCCATGTTAAACTGAAAAAAAAAATTTAAATATCAGTTAACTCTTTTTTTTTTTCAGTGGCCCTAATCCTCTTCCGTAGAAAACACTTTCTGCTCCCAATACTTCCAGATGTTTTTGAATACCGTATTTTTCGGACTATAAGGCGCACTTTTTTTCCATAGTTTGGCTGGCCATGCAACTTATACTCTGGTGCGACATATATACGTGTTGTTTTTCACCACGAGAGGGCGCTATGTAGCTTTGCACGAAACAACATGTATTCTATTAATACCACTGAAAGAAAAAAAAACGTTACAATTTACCACAACAAAACAAATTGGCGTTAC